AAACACTTTGGTTCAGGATGTTATAAACTGTCAAAAAATGAACATTCCAATGTGGATTACAAATTACCCCTCTTTGGCCCTATTACATCTCATAATTGAACTGTCACCTACTTGTTTTATTCATTATAGTAATGGATGCAGTTGGTGGATGTATGCAAAGTGTAGAAGGTAAGGTTAGGAATTGTTAGGAAGACAGTTTGAAATGTTGTGCATTTAAGCATTTGGAGAAAACATCAGTCAATATCTGAGAGCTGTTTAAGCAGACATCTGGACTTTGGCTGGAATGATTACCCATTTACATCTCTGCAGTAAATAAGTGCTTATTTACCTCCAGATGCTTGCTTGGTTAATAAAGTATATTTCATTTTATTATTTTTTTTAAAGATTTATTTATTTATTTATACAAGCACTGGGTACAGTCAAAAGTGCGGGAGAGTGAGAGAATCCACCAGAACCAGAGGGGAGAGCAGAGCAGGCAGACTGATGAAATACACTGCTGAGGGGAGCAGTGGGCACAGCAGGAGAGGTCTGCAAACCATGCGGGACCCTTGTAGGTGGCCGGGGATTGAACTGGCACTGCAGAGGCTGCAGGCAGCTTCGCAGCCCAGCGCTCAACCACTGTGCCACCAGGGAGGCCCGTAATAAAGTGTATTTTAAAATGTGTTCAAAACAACTATTTCTTCCGTCCCCCCGCCCTTCTCCTCTTCCTCCTCTCCAGTCCTTTAACTCCTTCTCTCCCTCCTTCCCAGTTCCTCCTCTCTCTCTTTCCCCTTCCTCTCTTTAAGCTAGAATTATGTGAAAGAGACTGATTGCTAAATGTATATAGCAATGCTAAATGCTCTCTTCCTTAGTTGCAAATGTCAAATTTTATTAGGAATGTAATGCAGTCATCCAAGTAATTTATTTTTTAGTTGTTCTGACCAATAGGCCTTACAAATGCGTTGTGTAAGCTTTCTAAGAATGATGCTTTAAAGAAGCCAACTCAGGGCCTCTCCGGTGGCGCAGCGGTTGAGCGCTGGGTTGCGAAGCTGCCCACAGCCTCTGCAGCACCGGTTCGATCCCCGGCCACGGGAGGAGGGTCCCACATGGCGTGCAGACCTCTCTTGCTGCCCGCTGCTCCCCTCAGCAGTGTACTTCCGTCCTTCTGCCTGCTCTGCTCCCCACTCTGGCTCTGGTGAATTCTCTCACCCTCCAGCTCTTCTGACTGTACCCAGTGCTCGTATAAATAAATAAATCTTAAAAAAAAAAAAAAAAAGAAGCCAACTCAACTGCTTCCTGGACAATGAAGAAAATGGCAGAAACTTTGGCAGCCAACATGGACTATGAGATGACCTTGAAGATAGAAGCCAGAAGCTAGGAGGTAGAACAGCAAGATAGAAAGAGCATGAGTCCTAATAACTAAAAGCTCAGTTTGACTGCATGTTCCAGATCCCTTTGTCTTAAAGAAAAATAAAATTATTTTTAATCTTTTTTTCTATTGTTTTTCCTGCAACAAGGAGCACATTGAATTCTGTTACATGCACTCAAAAAAAAAATTTTTTTTTTTTTTTTTTTTGCTGCTGCATGCTTTAATGAAAATACTAGATCAAAATACTGTGATTGTACTGGGTGCTTTGATTCAAAAAATTAAATCACCTAAAACACCACTGAACAAGCATATAGAGAAAAACAAGAAACACTAAGGTCAATGAAGTTTGTACAACAATTCAATTCAGTGCATGCCTGGCCAGTGTGTACACCCACACCTGTAGGAGCAAGTTAAAGGCTCATTAATTGCCATAAAATAGAAAGTCATATAATGTTGACCCAGCCCTTTCTAGAACTATTTGTTCACAGATTCACTTCTTGTGAAACATTTATTAATATCTTATAAAATAGTGGGCTTGTAATTATTTAAGGAAAATCACTTTTGAAATTGCACAGAATACTGGGCATAGTGAAGTCTCGGGACAAGACTCAGGAAAATGAGATTTGTGCCTTTCTTGTTACTTAGCAGCCATGTGAGTCTGTCCTCCGTAACATAAAGGACTGTGAATTACACTAGTGCAAACTTGTGCCCTAAAAGTCTACAAAAATTAAAAAATTCATATATTATGCCAAATAAAAAATTATCCCTGGGGTATCCCCAAATACTTAAACAACCTACTTTATATATTTTTTTAAAAAAAACATTGTCTCATATTTTAAATTCTCTCCCAGTTTCAAAAGAAATTCAACCAATGGAAAAAAAAATTTGGATATGGTATTTTTTTCACTACTTCATTTCCTGACTTTTGTATTTACCATATTTTATTTTCTGTCTGGCTAGGAATGCTAGTGATTATATCCATGCTTTAATGAAAAGGTAGGGCAGGTCAATTATTTAGATGACTCTGTTAATTGTTGAATTTCAACTAATTTATACCTGTCCATATTCTGACTTGAAGTTGTTGACTCAAATAAGTGCAAACTGATTCTTCATTTGGGGTTGTTGCCAACTATGGGAATGTAAGTCTTCACACTAAAGAAATTATCTTCTAATCTGGCTGACATAGACAATTCAAAACATAAGCAGGAAGAAAACACCTTTGCATTTTCTCTTTTGGCAAACATTCTTATATAAACAATTTTATAGTTCTTCTTTAAGAACAGGACAAGTAAAAAAAAAGAGTATTAATTTTTCACTATACTCTAGCTTTTGGAAATTGATAGAATTTCCAAATAGTTTTTTTTTTTTAAGATTTATTTATTATTTATGAAAGCACTGGGTACAGTCAGAAGCGCGGGAGGGTGAGAGAATTCACCAGAGCCAGAGCGGGGAGCAGAGCAGGCAGAAGGACTGAAATACACTGCTGAGGGGAGCAGCGGGCCGCAGGAGAGGTCTGCGCGCCATGTGGACCCTCCTCCGGTGGCCGGGGAGCAGCCGGGGATTGAACCTGAGCTGCAGAAGCTGCTGGCAGCTTTGCAACCCAGCACTCAACCGCTGTGCCGCTGGGGAGGCCCTCCAAATAGGTTTGATATTTCAATTTCAAATTTTTAAATTGAATTTTCAAATGCTTGCATGTTTTCTCATATAGAATTTAATTTCACCTGTTCTGATATTAAGTGCTTTCACATGTGAAATTTTCTTAACATTGAATAGTGAGGCAACACACTCTTGACGATAGAGATATTTTAAACTATATGGAACAGTTAAATTCACTCTAACTGAACATAAATTCAAAGCATGTAATCTCAATTCGTACAAAGGAAAAATTAAGAATGACTAACTTTAACCAGAATTTTCTTAATTTACCAATTTCTCTCATAGTTTTGCTCTAGACAGTAGCCCAATGATCCATTAAAAATGTGTTTGATGGGCCTCCCCTGTGGCACAGTGGGTTGAGCGGACTGCTGTGAAGCTGTCCACAGCCTCCACAGTACTGGTTTGATTCCCGGCCGGCCAGGGAGAATCCCACATGGCGAGACAGACCTCTCCTGTTTCGCCTGCTGCTCCCCTCAGCAGTGCCTTCGGTCCATCTGCCTGTTCTGCTCCCCGTTCTGTCTCTGGTGAATCCTCTCACCCTCTGGCGACTCTGGCCTGTACCCCCAGCTCTTGTATAAATAAAAATAAATCTTTAAAAAAAAGTAACCTATAAACATAGTTTTCTAGATCTCTTGGAAGCATAAAGCAATAGATATCAAAATCCTTATATGTACAGTGAACTCTAAGAGGCTTCTGTCTCTATTAAGCATTTCATACAGAAGAAGCCTCTGGAACACTGACTACAATAATATCTCTCAAGATCTTTAAAATAACATGACAGTGAGAGGAGATGCTGGTGCATGTTATACTATAAACTTCATAGACTAGAGCCAACAGCACAAAACAAGTTTGCTTGATCTGCTATTATTCATTTATTATCTGCTCTTGGTAGTGTTGTTAGTTATCATTAAAGACTGAACTCAGATATTAACATTGAGATTAGCTCACATGAGGCTTGGGTTATTCTGTAACAATTTAATAGCAGAAGCAAATGCCAATGAAGGTTGTTGCTTGGACCTACTGATTGTGTCACGGGTCGCTTGGGTAATGCATTCATGAACTTGTGCTCACAATCCTCACTGAAAAGCATACACAGCAGCAACAAATGAATATCTGACCCACTTTCATTTCCCTCTTCTTTCTTGCTGGCAAAACCCTGACTTTGTTCAGTTACCACATGTCCAGTGGAGAGATGATCTCATCCACAGTTTGGGGTAAATTCCAGTTAATCAAATGTAATTATGAGAGTCCTATTTTCACATCTTTGTTCACTTTGGGACAAGGATCTAGAAAAGGTCAATGAGGTTTATGGCAGATTCCAAAAACTATTTACTATCAATAGTTCTGGATAATGGAGATGTGCCTTGTGGTCCCCTGGGTATAGAGTGTCTCTATTTAACATTTGGACCTTCAGAGACTTCTTAAAAAACAAATGGAACCAAACTAAAGGCAAACACAAAACATGGAAGTGAGAGAAGATAACCTGGTTCTTTGGTGACATTGACCTTAATGATAGTTAACTCATCAGAGTCACTGCATTTCCAGGCTTTTATCATGAGAAACAATGCATTTCCTTACTTTTAGAGCATATTTGAAGTGGCAAAAGGCATCGTAACCATTACATGTAAATACAATTTATATTTCTTTAAGTAGACTACAGAAATTAAGGTGGAAATGGACCCTGAAATTTAGCTGAAGATAAGTAGTAAGATAAAAACAGGTATCAGTTGATTATTTTATTTTTCCAAACATAAAACTATGTTATTTGGAAAGTTACTATAGAGAAGAAGTTCAGGAAGTTGGTGATGCCATAATTTTTTTTTAGTATTTATTTATTTATGCATAGAAGAACTGAGGTATAGGCCAGAGGTGCAGGGTGTGAGAGGATTCACCAGAGACAGAGTAGGGAGTAGAACAGTCAGATCTACTGAAATGCACTGCTTAGCGGAGCAATGGACGAGACAGGAGAGGTCTGCTGTGCTATAGGTGAGTTATACTCCCTGGCTGGGGATCGAACCCAGGCCACAGCAGTGACAGTGCTGAGCCTTAACCTTTACACCACCAGGGAGGCCCAATGCCATAAAATTCTCGATAAGACTTTACGTTTTCTCCTAAAGCATTCCAGAAATATGTTTTTACTATGGAAGAAGAAAACAGGTATAGGATATTTTGGGATCTCTAATAAAACAAGAGGATGAGAGGATCCAGACTAAGCAAATTTAAACATTTTTTTTTTTTTAAATTGAAGTAACACTGCATTACAACATCTTATGTTTCAGGTACTCATGGAGAATGAACATGAGTATATACTACATACATTAAGTTCAATGCTTAAAAAAAATCAGCAGGCAACTACAAATCAGAGACATTCTGCAGGGTAGGAGGAGGGAGAGGAATCAAAACAGGGGAGGGAAGAGCACAGGGACTGTGGTGATATTGCACAGGTGAATTGGTGGTGGGAATTTTATGGGGACTCTGCCTGAGAAGAGAAAGCATACATTGTACAAAAATGAAAGATTTAAATACATACACACACACACACACGTTTACGGTGTCAAATTTAATTCTATCCTACTCCATACCCCTGTCTACATCTAACCCCTTCTTTGGTGGTAACACCCATAAGGTCACCTCTATAATACATTCTATTTCTTTTTTTCCATTTGTGTTATTTATATTATGTGTTTGAAAAAGTATCTCTTTTTTTTGTCTACATTCCATGTAACACTAACAAATACTTATTTTACTTCTTATACTGCAAAATCTATTGACGAGGACACATTTTCCATCAAGACCAAGGCATATATCTACATTTCTTTTGAAACTGGAATTTGAGAAAGAATACTTTCCCTTCCTACTTGAGATGCTCTCTGGCATTTTCTTTTCGATTCAATCTGATTTATTCTTTAAAATACTGCATGGACTCAATCAATCGATTTTTCTACCAATAAAGGGTCAAGACTTAGAATTTCAAATTCACTTCTTAAAAATTAATATCAAATATCAACCAACTTTCCTCATTCTCCTAATACTACTAGAATTGTTTCCCTCTACAGAAGCATGTCTTGCTGCTCTTCAGGTGTTTACCATTTTATACCCTTTCCCTAACCCTACAGATTTATTATTCCTATCCATCTGCTTCACAAGGTCTGTAGTGCAAATAATGATATGAAAATAATGATTATCTTTCATATTGCAATGAAAAAAATTAGCCATCAGCCAGGTATGGAATTGAGTGAATGGAAGGTGTGTTTTACTCTATAATATGAGGCACCACATGTCCTTAATACCCACCCACTTCATGCTTTCAGGAAGCAGAGCTGGCCATATGTTTAACCAGCAGTAAGAACAACTTCCATGATTCACAGACCCTCTGAATTTTGGAGTTGTAAAAAGGCAATTAGAGTAACTGAAAAGGAATAAGAGTTTTGAATTTCTGACTCATGTTACCCTGTGATTACACTTTACAATTCTGGTGCAGCAGGTGGTGCATTTGAGGAAGCTCAGCCTCTACTGTTTTGTCCTTCTCCAGGTCACTCTTCATCTTGAATTCTTCATATTCCAGGAGCACCAATAAACATCATTTTGTGGGGAGCAGGTTGAGTGCAGCAGGTTGAGTGCAGTGGCGCTGCAGGTTGAGTGCAGCACTGTGAAGCTGTCCGCAGTCTCTGCATCCTCTGTTCGCAGCCTCATGGCATGGCAGACCTCTCCTGTCTCACCTGCTGCTCCCCTCAGCAGTGTTTTTGGTGGTCTGCCTGTTCTGTTCTCCACTCTGTCTCTGGTGAATCCTCTCACCCTCCCACATCTCTGGCCTGTATCCCAGTTCTTGTATAAATAAACAAATCTTCAATAAATAAATAAATAAATCATTTTGTGCATTTGTTGGCCAAAAAGAAAAAGTTCTGTATATATAGGTTACCCCAAAGAAAATCTCTAAAGAGAGTTTTGTTTTTGAAGTTCTTAGGCTTATTTCAGAGATTAAGCTGGACTTAAACAAAAGAGAGGGAGTTTGGTGGTGAGGGGAATCTGGCATTAGATTCCGCAGAACTGGGTAGGATAAGAGATGGTCCAAGTGTCACAGAGGGCAATACCCACCTAAACATTGCTCCCTCGAGGGGCATGACTTTCGTCCGAAAAATTGGTTGGTGGCCAACAAGTGCTGACTACTGAGTTCTGCAGTCTTGGCCAGGAGACTCCTACAACCAAACTAGGTCCATTGAAAAGAAACTTCCATATTGCTGCACAATGGCTGGCCACATTAACCCAAACACAGATTCCAACTCTGGCAACCAGGGCCTGTATTATTTCTTAAGATGTTTTATAAGATGGGGGCCTCCCCGGTGGCGCAGCGGTTGAGCGCTGGGTTATCCCCGGCTGCTCCCCGGCCACCGGAGGAGGGTCCCACATGGCGCACAGACCTCTCCTGCCGCCCGCTGCTCCCCTCAGCAGTGTACTTCGGTCCTTCTGCCTGCTCTGCTCCCCGCTCTGGTGAATTCTCTCACCCTCCCGCGCTTCTGACTGTACCCAGTGCTTGTATAAATAAATAAATCTTAAAAAAAAAAGATGTTTTATAAGATGATACAGTTTCCGGGTGATGCTACAAAGATACAACAGGAGTGGGGAAGGCTAGTATTAAAAATTCTACAAATCTTGGTGTTTGAAGATATCAGTCATTATTTTATATTTTTTAAAGATTTATTTTATACAAGAGCTGGGGTAGTGGGACAGAGGTGCAGGAGGGTGAGAGGATTCACCAGAGACAGAGTGGGGAGCAGAACAGGCAGACGACTGAAATACACTGCTGAGGGGAGCAGGGGGTGTGACAGGAGAGGTCTGCCATGCCATGTGGGCCAGCCAGGAATAGAACCTGAGCTTCAGAGGCTGCTGACAGCTTAACAGCAGTGCTGTGCCACAAGGGAGGCCCTCAGTCATTATCTTTAAAACTGGCATTATAATCTTAGAGCCATGAAGCCAATCCATTCCTGCTATACAATAGTTTTAAAGGGAATTAACTCAACTAGAAAGTTCTTAGCACTCTTGAGGTATCTGGCTCAATATACTAATTTTTACTTCATTGAAACAAAATTAAGCAGACCAAATAAATTGCTTTGCCATCAATGTTAAATTCCTTTCCCTTTAATATGTTGGAAAACCAATATTGCCTTGTAGAAAAAAAAATGCATTGATTCATGTAGTATTAGTGTACTTGTAATGTGAATTCTGGCACTTAAAGTGAAAAGATTAATGTTTCACTTTTACAGATACTATAATTTCATAAAACCAAAGAAGGCAATATTTTTTTTCTGCAGTTGACCTGTGTGAAGCAGACTGCAACTGAAAGTAACATACTTATGGTTTCTCTTATCTTAAAACAACCACAAATTCTCTTCCTCCTTTAGCTTCTATAATCTTTTCTCCTTCCCTTTGTACAATAATTCAAAAGAATTGTCTATAATCTTTGTCTATTTCAACTCTCTTGCCCACACTGCTGCATTTAAACTGTTCATATGAAGGGTACAAATGTCTTCCATTGCTAAGTCAAATAGCCAGTTCCCTGTCACTGTATCCCTTGACCTAACAGCAGCATTTAAGCCAGATGTCCTCTCCCTCCCCTGTTCCTCACTGATGCACTATCTTCATATGGCTTCCAGATTCCATCCTCATCGGCTTTTTTTCTCATATTTGAAACTCCTGCTTGGTCTCTGCCCATTCTTCCTCACCTCCCAGATGTTAAAATGTTAGTGTTTAGGTTGCAATTCTGGGCCTTCCCTTCTCCTTCCCTTCATTGCTATTTTGATAATTTCAAGTTCTATCATGGTGTTAACTGACACTGAAATGCTGATAATTTCTAAGCATCTGTCTTCAATCTGGTCATCTCTCCTTGACTATGAGGTTTACTCCTAGTGCCTTCTCAACCCCTCTGCCTAAAAGCCTGATAGGCACCACAAATAACTATGTGTTTGCTTGAAGGAGGAATGAATAAATATATTCCCTAGTCATAGTTCATATGGGAGACAATAGCTGCCAGGGCTTGTCTTCTATGGTTTTATTACAACTTTATTTGTCCCTTTCTCTTCCTGTCACCTCAAAGCAGATGTTGTGGTAGTGACATCAGAGCCAATGCTTAGGAGATATTGGGATTTGAGTTTTGGACAATAGAGCATTTAATCAATTATCAGAATGTTTAATTAGTACTCCAAATGATGAGATTTGATTTACTAGGAATTAAAGAAAATGAAGGATTTATTCATATATTCAACAAATAGGGGCCAATTTCCATTATAGGTCTGGAGATACAGCAGCAATAAATAAACAAGATCCCTATGCCCATGAAATTTGCATTGTAATGGGAAAGAATAGATGGGGATGGAAGAGACAATAAACCAAAGCAAATAAACATACAAGGCAAATGGTGAAAGGGCTATGTAGAATAATAATATAAGGAATGGCGAATAAAATGAAGCAATATGTGTTTTAGATAGGATATTCAGGACAGTCTGTAGGAGGAGGAGAGCATGAAATTTCAGCAAAGATTTAGGAAAAAAAGCGAGGTAAGAAACCATGAAGATTTCTAGGGAAAGAGACCTGTAGACAGAAAGTGCAGGCTATACTTAAGACTTGAGAGAAATAAGCTACTTAATGTGTTTGTAAAACACCATGCCAGGTAGAAAGTTTTTAAGTGCTGTTTAGTTTTGTGTGCCCCTTCTCTCTTGCCCATGCATACCAAAATAAGGAGATCTTGGCAAAAGTGCCCAGCACATCTATAAATTACATGATTTTAGTTTAAGGAAGATTATATCATTTACATACTTTATTCTCTTTTGCTTTTCTATATTAAACAAAATCAATTGCTTGTCTAAGTAAGAATGGGAACACAAAATGACAGCCCTAGCCATCCTAATGGAAGCATCAATCAAAAGCCAGTGTGATACTGTCTGTGGATACACAATGCTTTGATGAGTATGAACACAAATATGCAGGCTCATTTCTATTTCTGTGGAAACTCAGCACAAGATGTTTTCTTAAAGGTAGAACATTTGTCATACTGTGTTTATGACTATAAAAATG